CCCTTTGCTTCCTAATGTCACATGCAACATGGTTCTTAAAATAAATTTCAAAGCATGTGATTACTTTAGGTTTTCTTACTGCATAATTTTTTAATCTCTAATATACATCAAGCTACAACAGACTTCAAATTCAAAACTCAAACTCATTGCCATCAAATAGGAACCAATGCATAGTTGGCCCTTCAGCAGGTTTTCAGAAGCAGGAAATCACAGAGGAAATTTTCTGTCTTCCTTCCACCTTTGGGCTAACAGCCTAGCTCCCTGCCCACTACAGCACCAGAGCCCCCTAAGATATAGCACCAAATGGCCCTATTTTAACTGTCAAAAAAACTCAAACAATCAGGCATAGTTATACATTGCATGCAAGTATTTTCTGCATAAAAAGGTTAAAGTGTATTATATAAAATAAACAGTCTAACAGATGGCAGATGTTCCAAAAGTTTGGAACCGAAACGAATATTTCATGCGTTGGCTTATTTAATTTTCAGTAGAGAAAGCACAATGTTCAATGTATATTCTTTGATTACTTCTCAGAAATGAAGCATGTGCCTCTTATTCATAGTTTAAGAAAAATATATCTTTTCAGTTCATCTTGATCTGCTTGGTGCTAAATCCAATTCAACTGATCGTGAACACATCGAGAATGTTTATTAAAAATTCAAGGGGATGAAAGATCCCTTGAAAATCTATGACCGCTTCGGAATGCCATTTGCAATATCAGCACTGAGGAGGAGGAAGAGAAGATAAAGTAGACCATATGTGATGCTCAGGGACCCTAGAATATTGTATTAGCCCGGGACACACATACTGTCTCTCATTACACCTCATACTGTCTCTCATTACACCTTTGGAAGGGCTGATAGAAACAGTTGAAGAAATATCAACTGACAAGCACTGTCTCTTGACACCACACTGCTGCCTTCAACCGCACCTTTTCTTCCTCTGTGACATTAGGTCTGTGCTTGCCTCATGCTCAGATTGCTATTCCTTCAATACCTTACTTAGTCTCCAAAGTTCATTTGCAAACAGTGGCTTTTCCAAACACATTTTGGACCATTAATTAGGATTAGTGTGGTGTTAAGGGTTTATTATTCAAAATTACTTCTCTAGCCATTGACTGACTTTTTTCATGTGAATGAGTGGGAATATGCAAATAGGTTGTGTTAGCCTATCTACAAGGGGATTGGCTAGTCTTGTCATTGCAGACTTGGAGGCAGGTCTGAGAATCTGACCACCAGCAAAGGAGAAGTGGACATGCAGTGTGTGCCACTAGAGCCTAGAGATTCTTGCACCAGCCAGACCACAGCAGCTGCGTGGCCAAAACAGAGATCCAGAGACCCAGCATGAGACAGAGCTGGCTTTGGGACTGCTACCCCCACAGAAACAGAGCTAAGAGCCTTTGCCCAGGCTTATATTTGCTCAACTGATGTTGCTGTGATGCTGCATACTGTTTCATAGCCTTGTCAAATGCCATAATGGATACCCATTATGTAGTGTTTAGATGAGCTTCCAGATTGTTTTATGGTGGGAAGCAGGAGTGGCATCCACTTCCTAAACTAGATGCCTCTGGAAACTCTACAAACTCTCTAAACGATATAAATATACAGAAATGATGGTGTTTATAGGACAGAGTCACGTACAGAAATGATGTTGTAGAATAGAGTTCAGGTCTTTTGTGGAAAACTTACTCTCAGTCATATTTGACTTGACGATACTTAATCACTGCTAAATGAGGCTGTTGTTGTTGTTGTTGTTGTTGTTTGATGCCGTCGAATCATAGGCGACTCATAGCGACCCTATGAACAAAGCCTGAGCATTGTTCGTACATAGAGTTTCCGGAGGCAAGCCATTTCGGAAGTGGATGCCGCTCCTGCTTCCAGAAATGAGGCTAGTGCTGTTTATGTCTGGAGAAACACTCTTCCACTCTGTACATCACTCTTTGTCAGTATACACTATGAAGTAACCTGGGTTGCTGTTGATGCTGAACCTTGTACCACTGGGGTATCAAATACCAGAATGGTTTCCCAATGTGGACAGTGTTTGGTGGAACTCCCAGTTGTAAAACGGGTTTGGAAGTGGAAGTGACATCCGATTCCTAAACCACATGCCTCTGGGAACTCTTTGAACTTGGAGAAATGACGATAGTTATGGAAAGGCATCAAGTCTTTTGTTCACAGAGGTGCTATGAGTTGCACTTGACCTGACGGCAATCAGCAGCAACAACAATTGGAGGACCAGGGTGGGGATGAAGAGCCATAATTGGCAGGACTGAGAGCTTCATAACACTGGTCTAAAGCCGTGAGGCTCAACACTGAGGTGCCTGCAAGCACATGTCAGCAGCGGCCCCGACTGAGTGATTGTCTGCTATCAACCTGAATCACATCCCTTTGAATTCCTTTATGTGGTTCTGTGTGATCTGTGAGCTATCATAATCGAGTTTAGACCAAATAAAGAATTAAGAAGAAACTCTGGTGGCCTAGTGGCAAGAAGCTGAGCTGCAATCCCAAAGGTACTCAGTTCAAGGCCACCAGCTGCTCCACGGTAGAAGGATGGGCAGTCTCCTCCTATGCAGTTAACTGCCTTTGAAAACCCACCAGAAAGTCACCGATGGGCCGTTTCCAACTTGACCGTGCACAACAACCAAATAGTAAGATCAGTGTTGGGATGAGTAGAAAGAGGCGCAGGAGCATGAAGACATGTCCTGCCTTAGGGGAATTGGTTTTGTGTTGTAAATGTTTTTAATGGGGACAATCCCCCATTGTGGAGTTGGTAGAGGTCAGGGATGGCCGTCCGCATGTGGCTCTTTCTCTTTTTACAGCTAGACTCTTCTTCCCTAGAAATCCTGTAGCATTTATTAATTGTGCTGTTCTCTATGGCTCTTTGATTATAATCGGCAGTATGCTAGTACTTCCATGTTTTGTGAGACTCTTTGGTTTATCCACTTTGCTGTCTAGTTGATCACTGGGGCAAGGTCACTGGGAGACTCTTACTTAACCCCTTCAGCCTTTGTTACCAATAGCCACAGTTGAGACTGTGAAGGGAGGCTCAGTAAAAAGGCTTATTGATACGGCTTCGTTAAACAGGCTCATTGAGAGTAAACAGGCTTATTGATACGGCTTCATCTATCTGCTCTGAGCATGTTTTAAAACGGTTCCTGATGAGCAGGAAGAAATCTGCAGGAGAAAGGAGGGGGCGGGGGGAAGGAGCTCGTATCTGTGAAGCATGTAGTTTGTAACCAGCATCCTGGTTCTGGGCTTCTATCACTCCCAGCCTCATTTCTCCCTCACGTGATGATGTTGTTAGGTGTCTCTGAGTGCAGGATGGGCCTTTCCCACCTCACAGTTCAGGAAACTGAGGCACATGGCTTATAAAGCATCGCTGGGAGTTTAAACCAAAAAGGCCATCTCGCCCAAGACTCTGCTCATTTTAACACAACATGTTGCTTCACAGATCTGTTCAAGATGTCGAGAAATAAATTAGAAAAATTTGAACAGATGTAATCTATTGTACAAAACCAATACTTTCATACAAAAATTTCAATCCGTAATATATTGGCAAATTCAAAAGGATGGCTTCATTTTCAAAATAATTTCCATACAACATCATGAATATATTTTAAATGATTTATAAAGTCATGGTATGAAAACGTTTTTTGAAAATAAAAACCCAGCACTATTACATATTACCATTCACATATGAAACCTGAACGTTTATTTTTAGAAAACTTTGGCATTGTTTTATTTTTTATAAAATTAATTTATATATCTAAATACTTGCTTTTAAAAAGCCCCTCCAACCTCATGGCATTAGAGTTGAAACCAACTCAAGGCTAACGCTCCAGCAGGTTTTCTGAGGCTGTGAATCTCACAGGAGGAGATTGCTTATCTTTTCCCCAAGGAACGGCTGGTGAATTAAAACCGCCAGAGAAGCGCCGTGTTTGGGATAGCGGCACGCCTCCTAACAGACTGTGCCACCAGAACTCTTCATGTTTATAGATCTGTGTATATAATATATAGATTCCTTTATACCTAATAATTGTAAACATTTCTAATGTATTTTAATACTAATATTGTAGAATTGTTTGCTGTTGTGTGCTGTTGAGTCAGAACCTATACTTAGCTGAGCTTCCAGGGAATTTTCAAAGACAGTTGATCCCACAAGAGGGAATTGCTCATTCTTCTCCCATAGAGCAGCTGGTGGATTTGAACCAGGTGCCATTGAGATTGCAGCTCAGCCTCTTATCACTAGGCCACCAGAGCTCCCATATTTTAGAATAGTGATATTTACTTACGGCTTCATGTTTTTTTATTCAACAGTAGCTTCATTTTAGATGAGCTCTGGTGGCCTAGTGAGTTGTGCATTGGGTGGGTAACCTGAAGACAACAGCATTCAACTTATTGCCTTGAGTCAGAAGCGGCTCATAGCTAACCCACTGTGGATTTCAGAGACTGTAAATCACACGGAAGGAGATTCTGCATCTGTCTCCCATGAAGCAGCTGGTGGACCGAGGCCACCAGAGCTTTCTAACCCGAAGGTTCGTGGTTCAAATTCACCAGCTGCTCTCTGAATGATAGGCCATCTCCTCCCATCGAGCTGTGCAACCTTGGAAGTCCAGAGGAGGGTCACTGCGAGTTGAGATTCACTCAGCAGCACTGAGGTTTAGGGTTTTGTTCTGAGGCTAAGCAGTAGGAACGTATCTTCTAGTTCTTCAGGAATTCTTTATAGACTAGTGAGGTGACAGCTGTAATGACAACTAAAACAAAGAGTGAGTGAGGAGTGTTGGAGGAATGAAGGATGAAGGATGATTGATCTGAGGACTTGGAGTTTCCAAACTTTGACATCATTAACATAATCAATTTCTCCAGTTCTACTCAAGTGTATGGCTGAGAGTAACTTCATTCTTTGCTAAAGGAATGCACAATATTAGATTATTTGGTTTGGATAAGAATGACAAATGATAATGTCACTCTTAACCCTTCTCTATTTCTTTTATTCCTCAGCGCCTATCACCCAGGGAACTGGAGTCAACTTTCCAATTGGAGAAATCCCGAGCCAACCCTACTATCATGACATGAACTCGGGGGTCAATCTTCAGAGGTCGCTGTCTTCTCCACCAAGCAGGTAACTGGAAGGGAGTTGCGTTCTCTTGCACTTGGGAAGCTAAAGATAAATTGGCAGGTAGAGAGAGATGCACAGATAGACGGGAGGGTACATAGGATTGGAAAACAAAGCAAATGGTGAAGATGATTGGTTTTATGATGACTGTGTAATCTTTCTTGGTTAGATTTCTTTTTATATTTGCCAACTAAAAGCAGTTGGCTTTTAAAACTCCTTACTAAATTTTCCTTTTGAGCAAAAGACTTATAAAAATGTATTAATATGATTTCTCACCTATTCTATGAAATATAATAATTGTATGTTGTTGTTATGTACCATCTAATCAGAACTGACTCATAGCTGAACTTCCAGAGGGTTTTAGAGGAAGTAAATTGCCCGGGAGGAGATGCCCATCGTTCTCCAGTGGAGCAGCTGGTGGATTGGAGCTGAATACCTTTACCCAGCACAATTCCTTACTACTTAGCCACCACAGCTCCCTGGAAAAAGTTAATATTTCGGACTGTAAGAAAAAGTTAGAAGGTCCCTTGTAATGGTACTTCCATCTCTGTAGCTTTCATCTAGTACCACATTAAACTTGGAATAATGAAATAGGAAAAGGAAAACCTGTCATTTACTTAATCTGAAAAGTGGGAAGTCTTAACAACTTGGCTGCAATGGACCAAGTTCTTCAATTTGTCGGTTTTGCTTGAATAGTTTCTCGAATCTCAGTCATCAATGACTCTATTATTTGCTCTGAGTTTTGGTTTTAGTGGCTTAGGCAACACCGGAGTAGACTGGGAGCTTTCCTTCCTTTTCAGTTCTCTGTAGGTGTCCCTCTTTTTATCCTTCAGTCCCATACAAGTGAAAAAAAGGTGGAAATCAATACTTTTCTATTTAAGTTAGGGGTAGATAACATAGAAATGGCGCATTGGATTACCTGATGATGTGTTTCAGTAGTTTAGAATGGTTAATGAGAAAATGAATATATATTGCAGCTTCCCAGGTTTGTTCATTTATTTATTTTTAATTACATCAGCAGTATAAGAAGACTCATTTCCTTTTCCAGGCATTAACTATACCCATGAAGGAAATATAAGAGCATACGTAGGTTCCAGAGTCAAATGTGTATTTTACATATTCAACTTTTAAAAAGTAAAGAATATTTGGATAAACATTTTCCTGCTGTTTCTGATAAATTTGGCAGTTGCATCTGAATTTGTTCTGAGACTGTGCACATTAGTATGCTTCTAAACGAAGCTCAACTTTATGTCGTTTAACATGAAACTGTATTTTCATAGAGTTAGATTGGGCGGCATACTCTATGGCATGTAACACTGCTAACAGAAGGTTGGCAGTTTGCATCCACTAGGCGCTCTTTTCAGGAGACAGAAGGACAGTGCCCCCCAATACAAATTCATAACCCAGGAAACCCAAAGCAAGGCCACTGGAATCAACTAAAAGATGGTCAATTCTGTTTTGGGGGATTTTGGATTGAGTTTTGTATCATTAAAATGGTTTCTGATTTGTTGTGATCTCAAAAATGCTTATTTAAACTTGTTTCCCAAGTTTAAAAGTCTAAGCAGCAATAATTTTAATTTTGTCTAATGGATCATTTGGTTGTCAACTGGGATATTACCTCATGACCGCTCACTAACAAGTATTATGTCGTTCAGAATAAATTAAGTTTAAAAGCGTTTCTCCACTGCTTACTTAAGAAAGTGATTTCTTTCCCATTTCAAGTTTTCCAGACAAATGTACTTCTGACTCACAGATGGGAGGATTAGATTAAGGATGGTTAAAAATTGCATATAATTTCTAAGTTGGGTACAGCAAGAAGAAACTGAAGATATTCTTTACTCTTGCCATGGTTTACCATAGATAGAAATTTCCATCGTCTGCATCATAATAATAATATTCTGAGGATTGTGAGTCAAACATTAATCATAGGAAAATCCACAAATACATCCAGCGCTCGTGATTTCTAGGGCTTGGAAATGTGCAGTGTGAAGATCAAAGACTTGAAAGTAAAAACTTTGCTTCCAACTGCTTTCTCTCACTTGCCCCAGGGCAGTCACTTGAGTTCTCCAAATCTCTCTCATTTGTAAAAAAATGAGATTGTTTTACATCTATGATCTTGGGGATCAATTGCTGCTACAAAATCACGTACTACTTATTACCCGTGCATAAAGTTAATTTAGAAAATATCTTTTCCAGGTTATACCTACGTGAATGTGAATAATAAATATCTGAATAAACAAAGGGAAAAATGGGCCCATTTTCATGACAGTAATTAGCTGTTTGATAGAGTATTGGAGGTGTTCTTGTGTACTATCATGTCAGAACTCACTCCTAGCTGACATGACAGCAGGTTTTCAAAACCCACAGGAGGTAATTTCCAACTTTCTCCCATGGAGCAACTGGTGGATTTGAACCACATACTTTTGTGTTGGCAGTGCAGCTCCTCACCAATAAAACAGGGTATTGGTAGAAGTATAAAAGAGAAGTATATCTAGTAAATTGTCACATTCTTGCTGTAAATGCTCACTTTTTCCTTATTAAGATTGACCACCAAGTTTTTCTCACTGAAATATATCCTTTTTTTAAAAAAAATTATTAATTTTAATGAACATTTACAGAGATTTTGGAAATACATCCCTTTAAACATACAGTGCTCAGTGTGTATTTTTTTTGGTGTCATGATTTTCAGGGCTCACCTTAACCATAAACACTAAGTAAGCTTGTTTTTAATCAGTAAGCCGTTTGTGAGCTCAGCTTCTCCCCAGGAGAAGGTTGAACAGTCTCCTCTCATGCAATTAACTGCCTCTGAAAATATCCGCCGGAGGGTCAGCTATGGGTCTGTTCCGACTCTAAGATGCACAACAACAACAAGCTTTGTTTTTAAGAAAACATAAAGAAAAATATGTGAAATAGCTTATAATAATAATTAAAGATGACCTCCCTGCTACCTTCAAGTGGATTTTTGCTCACAGCAATCTTCCATTGGTTTCTGAAGACACAGATCTTCATGGGTGCAGACTCCCATGTCTTTCTTCCGAGGAGTGACTGGTAAATTGGGAACTCTACCTTTTCCACTAGCAGCCCAACATAATAGCCCACAAAGGACTATAACCTTTTTATTAGTGTTAATTACAGATTTATTTATAAGAACTACTATTTAGTAAGTATCTTCTCCATGCAAACCACTTAACTAAGAGCTTTACATTTAATACCTCATGTAATTCTCTTTACTACTTCTCTTTGAACTAAATTTAATTATTTCCATTTTACAGATGATTAATCCAAATTTAGAAAGGTTAAGGAGCTTATATATTAAGAAATAATAAGTAGCCCAACTTGTAGGGACTCTACAGGACAAAGTAGAACTATGAGTTGAAACTTAATGCCAATGGATAATGATGGTTAAGTAGCCTAATTAAGACTTAAGACTAAAAAAAAATAAAAAATTAAAAA